TTAAGGTAAACAGCCCTGAAAGTTTTCTTAGTTAAAGTAGTGACACAGGTAGCAATAGCCTTAAACTTCCTTGAGTTACAATATAAGAAGGATTGCATTCTTTGTGTCCTCATAATTTTAAAATCTCTCTCTCTCTCTCTCTCTCTCTCTCTCTCTCTCTCTCTCTCTCTCTCTCTCTCTGGGATGAATTTTCTCTTTGTAGAATGAGAATTTATTATGCTCCTTATGATTAAATTTTGATTTAGAGGCTATTATTTTGGGAATTTGAAATTTGGGCTAGTGGTTTGATTAAAAAGAAATGCAGTATACAATTTTAATTTAATAAATTCTTTTTTTTTACTTGGTTTAATTTTTATGTATTGTAAACTTGAGTTTTGGTTGAATTTCTTTTTTACCACAAACCAAATACGCTAGCATCGTTGGTCATCGTGGGTCAACGCCACCCGCCACCATTGCCTGCCTCCGTTGCCAACGACTTCAACTGCCACATATTGCTAGTGATAGCCACCAACTGCTATCGATAACCACCATTACTCGAATTTATATTACATTCATTTGACTCTAAACCAAATAAAAATAATAATAACCTCTTGAATTTATTTTATACTCAACTAAACAAATTCAAATACTTTCAAATACACTGCATTTTTATTTTAACCTCATTTTTTTACTTTGCATTCATTTTACAACAACCGAACAACCCTTAATTATCTTCAAATATAAATTCTATTTAAAGTTATTCATATTAGTATATAGTCAGAGCTTCAATTAGAACTATCAAAACTTCATGATGAATCACTCAAATTGCATGTTCAAACGAATGATTAAGGCTTCGTTTGAAATGGCTTCTTTAAGAAGTAATAAAAAAGCTATCCCAAAAGAAGCCTAAATGTGTAGTTTTTTCTTAAAAATTTTTTATATATCTAAAAGGAATTGAAAAGGTCAAATTGGCATCAACATCAATGTTAAGTAGGGACAAATCTTCAGAATTGTGCCTTTCTTTCCTAAATTTTTTTGTACAACAACAACAACATCAAGCCTTTATCCCACAAATATTCAGAATTGTGCCTTTCTTTCCTAATTTTTTTTGTGTGACTGCAAATATGAAGATGCATCATCTTGGATTTTCCAAGCTATGGTGGATGTCATCCATAGCATACCCTCTGTGCTCAGAGATTCATAAAAGGTTAAAAACATAAAGACTTGAAGTCTCTCAACTTTATTTTATCTCTAAAGATGTCAGTTTTAATATTACAACATTGATAAGCAATGTACGTCAATGAGGGTTCTAACATGTCTTAGGGCCTATTTGGAATAGTTTTCTCATTGCTTTGTTTTTAAAATAAACTTTGATTCAAGTTTAACTTATCGTCGCTGTAGAAATGTTGCTAGTTGTGTCTGGTTAGTGCTGATCAGACATAAGCCTTTTGAAGTTTTAAGCATGAGAATAAATATCATTATAATAAAAGCTAAAAATAATATAACATAGTTTTATTGTCCCTACCTTACAAAGTTTGAAGTTAGTGATAATAATTTATGGAAATTGCACTAATATTAGCATAAATTTAAGGACTTTAAAGCCCATTCTAATACATTTTGCATTTAATATTTGATACTTGATTTCCATTAACTTCCTCATATTGCATGATTTGAGTAAAAAAAAAGGTCGTCATTGTGGTTAGAGTGGAAACAATTTGCCATAAAAACTAGAGTATTTACACCAAAAGATCACCAAAACAAACTACTATGCTAAATATTGATTTAGTCTTGGGTTTAAAGCCATTAAAACAAGATTACTATGGGCTAATATAGATAACATAAGAGAAGGCTAAGTAGGATGAAAAAAAAATAAAGTTAAATGTAACATGTTAAACAAAGAAAGTAAAATAAGACTTGCAAGTTATAAATCATGAAGGAACATAAATAGATCATGTCTATTAGGGTACTGGAGCAAGAAAATGTACTTTTGTGGGGTTATATAAGATGTAAAATTGGGAAGATCTTACACATACAATTCTTTCTTTTTATTTGAGTATACTCAACTTTCTTTAGGCTAAGAAATAGAATTGCAATCAAGAGTTTGTATTATAGTCTAGATTTCATATGATACGAAGAGGTCTCATGGAGTTTATCACATCACATCACAATACATCATGTTCATAATTACTTAAGCTATTATTCAACTATCAAGATGTATCATAACAAATAGCTTGCAATTAAGGGCAATATGTCCATTCTTTCAACCCACTATGAAGATGTCAAATGCTTTTAAAATGCTAAAATCCTTAGATTAGAAGAAAGAATCTCACTGTTATCTTGCATCCCAAATTCTTTCATTTCTTCACCCATGCGGCCATGCCCCAATCTACTATTGAATTGAAATGGGATTAATATGACCTTCTCCTAGTCCTCAAAGGCTTTTGAGAGATAACTTTGCTGTAGATTTTTTGAAATAATGGCGTAGAATTTTATATAATTTGATGTATTTTATAATTTCATCTTTGATTAATGAAATATTTCAAAATTTAACAATTAATATGGTGGTTCATAAGTCTTAATCAAGTAAGACTTTGAATAATAAAAATTTCTAAGATGAATATTATAGTAAGGTAAATGGATCATTGGAAAACTAGCATTATATAAAAATATAGAGATGTACTTATATTTTGTGGATGATGGCTTCCCCTAATTACTTTGCTCTTTTTTTTTAGAATTTTCTTCTTCTTCATTCTTCTTTTCATTCTCTTCTTCTTCGATCTTTTCTGATCCTACAAAATATATTTATTTACATTTTTTTAACATAAAGGGAAAAAAATAAAGGTTTTTTTATGTGAAGGGAGAAATAAAGGAGAGAGTGCTTTAACTTATAATAAGATAATTTGAGGGGGAGCGATGGAGAGGTGGGTTTCCACACACATTTTAAAAAAAAAAGATGGGGGTGATCAACCACCATTGGTCACCAAAAAGAGGTTTGTGTTATCTTATAACCCACTTATAGACTGAGTTGAGAGAAATGATGGTACCATCTTTGATTCTTTATATACTTTACATAATATATGTTCAAATAAAACATATATACACTTGATATATCATCAAAAATTTATCTTGATCGGCACGAATCTCAAGATAAAATTAAGTTGAAAACTTTTGAAATTAAATTTGGTACCATCCAATCTCTGATTTCAACAAGCTTATAGTCAAACTAAACGTCTCAAAAAGATGAACCCAATAACACCAAATTTGACCAAATTTGAGCCCAAATGGGTCCAAATTGAAGACCCGAAGCTCCTTTGGAAGGTTCAAACCATAAATTGGATGACCAATTGGTTACCAAACGTGACATGCTCATAGTCGAATCAAGCGACCAACAAGCAATGAAATATAATATAAGTATAATATATACACCTAGCCGAATTATGCATGACTCCATCCATCATGTGCTTTCTATTTCACTTAGCTTAAGTATAGTATTTAGTTGTTTTTAATTCAGTAAGGACTTGTATTTCCCTTTTCATTTTAACGTGTAGCGTATATGAGTTTTATCCAAAATATAAATAAATAAACTATAAATTTATATAGTTAATTAAAGTTAATCCTTGGTCAATTAAGGTTATTATGAGCCAATATAGCCCATTCCAATCAGTCAAAGTCAACTTTGAGCCAACATGATCAAACCCTTGATATACATATGCATTAGGTTAGTTATGACCCAACTCCACCCATACTCATCACTTAATTGACCCAAACCCAATTCAAGTTGGCTCATTACTTAGGCCAATTTTTAATTCCCCAAACATCAATTCCACCCTTCCTCGAGCCTTTTAAGTTGCTCAAATCAACACTCATCGTAGAAAATTGATCCAAACTTAAAGCTAGCAGCCCAAAAGCAAAATTGATTATCCCATATCCTAATTCATCTCTTCATAAACTCCTCAGCTCCTCACTTGGTTCCCTATGAAATATCCAGAACAAACTAACTCCTGTGAAAGCTCATCGAAATTCTACTTATAGATTACTATATTGAACACATAGTATTCACCGCAATTCCTAGGATAATCAATACATCTTTAAGATTAAGATATTCATGCATAATGTTTTAAGAAATTAAAGTATATTTGATATCATAAACTTTGTGAATATGCTCAAAATATTAAGATCTATTTTTTAAAAAAGAGAAAATATCATAGTGAACAGAGCCCTACATGGGGTCCTGGTTAGATACCCATTGGGTACCCACGCTCTGCATTGGCGGGCTTTGCCAACCCACACCCACTTATGGTGACTTTCCGAATTTCATACCCACCCACACCCACCAACTTTCCACGCTTAATGAATGCAGTCTGCCATAGAATAATGACCTTGAGGTTTTTTGCTATTTTCTCTAACTGTAAACTTTCAAGCCACATATCAAAATTTATCATGATCGTGACGTGGTTCAGTGTTGCGCACTGCGTAGTAAGGATTATTATAATATACTGCATGCATATGATGATTAGTAATGTAAATCGATTCTCCTCTGATGTTGAGTACCCATCCATACCCACCCACGAGGCTATGGGCGTACCCATACCCACCCATGCCCATTGGGTATGGGTCGGTACGTGGGTAGGTGTGGATATGGGTACCCAATGCAGGACTCTGATAGTGAAATAATTGAATACAACAAATAAAGATAATAATAATGAGAATATTGGCAATATCAAAAAATCCACCTCAGTTCTACCTAAGAAGAAGCAACAAGCAATTGCCAGTTGCCATTAAGAACTATATTTTTACCATATCAAAATAAGAAAATTCGCCCAATTTTTTCTTCGTAAACCATATTTCACCTAACCCAACCTAAGCCGCCTCGCCGGTCAACACACCGGAGCCGCGCTTTCGTGCTGTAAAATACCTAATCTACCATCAGAAAACAGGACACCCGTTCCTTCGTCCAAGGGTATTCTCGTCACTATTATGGTCAGATACTTTCTGGCGCCGTTTCAAATAGACGCCTTCACTTCAGAAAAAGGAAGAGATGGAAGAAGACGATTGCCAGTGCCGGCCGTTGGGTTTCTTGCTCGGATTGCCCTTCGCCATTCTCGCCTTAGCCCTTTCACTCATCGGCGCCGTCGTCTGGATTATCGGGTATTCCTCTATTTCCTTCTCTCCCACTCCCTTCGCCTTGTAATCCGAAAACCCTAACCAACTTTTCTTGCTCGTCGATTGTAACAATGTTGAATGCGATTGCAGATCAGTGCTGAGTTGCTTGTGTCCATGCTGCGTGTGCTGTGCGGGGCTGGCGAATTTGGCTGTGGATCTCATCAAGATGCCCATCAAGGTTATCCGGTGTTTTATCAAGCAAATCCCTTGTTAGGAAGGTTTAGTGACGGACAACCGGAGCGATCTCTTCCAGCTCTTTCAAATCGTTTCTCACTCTTCTATTTTGAGATTCACTGCTCCTCAGATCTAAGAGGCGTCACAGAGTTGACATGGTTGATTCTGTTCGTGATATTTTTGCCACTTTTTGTATTGTTGCGATCTAAAAGGCAATTTGGTTAAAAAAAAGATCTGATTTTTTTTTTTTGGGTGAGAAATAGAGATCTGATCATGTTATTTATGAATAACAGTCTACACGCTTACGAGCTATTCCTGTAAATGAAACTGTTTGGCAAAAAAATTTTTAAATCCTAATAAATTCTATAATACTGTTCGGCAATGCAATTCAAAACTTAAGACGATTAGTTAGTTAAAAATTTAAATTTAATTTGTATTTTAAAAATAATTTACAATTTTTATATGAGATTAATTAATTTTAGTTTTAATTATTAATAATAAGTTAATATTATAAATGATGTAATTGGAAGTTAGATTGATTATCAAATAGCGTAACTAATAATTTAATTTTTAATTATAGTGCTACTTTTTTATTATTTATTTATATATTATTTTAATTAGTGATTGACTAGCTAAATTGATAATTAGCTAATTATTATTTGAAATAATTAATTATTTAATTATCATTTATACTATTAATTAAATTAATTAGTTAAATATTATTTTTAAAAAATAATTACTAATTATATTATTAATCATTTAAAATTATTCAAGTGTTATATTTTTGATAAATTTAGGTAGGCTTGGCTTTTCATCTATCTCCATTTTTTCATTATTGTTCAATTTTGACTGATTCGTGTGAGGTAGAGTTTTGAGCTGGTTGCTTAAACTTCTTAGCTTCCTTTGATGACATTACCTTCCTGTCAATGATAGTTCGACGTTGTTCTTCCTTCGCCCTCTTCGATGAGGTTCTTTGCCTCCATTGATGACAATAGGAGATCGCTTGATACAAAGATATTCATCTTTCTCCCTTTATTGTGTGCTTCTTCGGCCAAATCCTATAAATCCTTCCCTCCTGAATTTAGGGGTTATTTGATTGGCTGAAAACGGAAAGCAATGTAAATGATTTTATAGCATAAAGAATATTTTTGTGTTATTTAAATGAGTGTAAAACAAATATAAATTAATATATTTTTTTCAAGTAAAACGAATATAGTGTAAAATTCAAAAATAGTGGCAATAGTGAGAGGCCATGGCAGTGGCCAGAGGTGGTGGTCGAGGAGGTCGTGATTGGAGGCTAGCGGCGATAATGACTGGTGATGATAATGGTGGCTGATAGCGGTGGTAGTGGCTAGTGGCGGCGGTCAGAGGTGGTGATGATCGATGATATATAGGGCTGGTGGTAGTGGCCCATGACCATGCTCGGTAGTGGTGGTGGCCAACGATAACGATTGTGGTGGCCGACAGGTGGGCTAGCGGTCAGTGATAAGGGTTTGCAATGGTTGTCGATGGCGAGTGACGGTAAGAGAGGTTGCTTGCGATGAAAATGATTTTCATTCAAAATTAGTCCAATTTACTTTACCTCAAAAATGAACTAAAAACACTTTACACATTCTTTTACCTTGCTTTCATTTTTCATCCAATCAAGTACTAATATTTCGAAAATCCAGATAAATGATTTACTTTACTTCAACTTTTCTTCAAACTGAACGGCTCCTTGTTAAATTAGAGATTTGCTTCAAAAGAGGGAAACAAAGGATTTATTTTGCTGTGAAATTTAACATGCTCTCATATCCTTTTTGCCAGGAATTAACACAATTCCTACTTAATTATTGCATAAATCTTATATCTATACACCCCCTTAATCAAAGAAATAAATAAATTCATGTGAAAATGTTAGAAAGAAATGAGTTAGTGGGTTTAGGCTTCATTTGTGTCGGCTGTCTTACTTCTTCTTAAAGCAAATTTTTTGTAAGAAAATTGCTTTAAGAAGCAGTAAGAAAACTATTCCAAACAAAGCCTTAGTCTAATTATTTAATCAATACTTAAACAAATAATTATTTAATGAATTATTTAAGTGTTATTTTAAAAAAATTTAAATTCTAAGGGCACTATTAATTATCTAATTAATCATTTTTGTATTTTATTATTAATTACTTATTTAATTGTTTTTTACACCACTAATTTTCTAATTAATTAATTTTATTTTTAATTATATTAGGTCTATTTAAAGTTTGCTTGTTTCGATGACGTTCAACTTTGCCTACTTCGCCCGAGGCAGAGTTTTGAACAAGTTGTAAAAGCTTCTTCACCTCCTTCCCTGACGTTCCCTTCTAGTCAAATCAAAGGTCATGACAACAACTTCTTCTTGTTGGATCTGAAGTAATGACGGAGTTGCTCGCTGTGATATCTTGTGAGATTGTCATGTGATTACTTCAGACAATATGATGTCTATGATTATTTCTTATCAATGATATTTTGTATCCAAAACAATTTTGGGTTAGTTAGTGCTATAAGCTATGATCACTTTTTGTTTTAAGTTTGCATTGGACACTTGATTAAGGTGATAGGATTTTCTTAGTTGTATTCATATATAATGTTAATAATGTTTATGATGTATTGTTTTAAAATGTTTGAATTGATTTATTTTGGTACAAGGTAAGCATGTGTTTACCTAATTATATTTTAGCACTTTGAGTATGTGTGAGGAATTGACTTGGGCTAATTGCTAGTCTGTGGTTAATGTGATGACTATTCATTGAGGTGGAATTTGCTTGGTAAGCTAATTTCATGTTGTGTAGCTCTAGTGAGCAAGATGTGATCTTAAATTTCATTTTGATTATAATGCTTGCATTGTATATGTGTTAGTAGGAGAGATGGATACTTCTTAGATTAAAAGGCATATTATGAATTTAATATCTTGACTCTTTAGGTACATTAATAATTGATTGGTGAGATATTATAGTTTAGTAAATCTTATAATTTGATGAAATGCCAAGAGACCTTGCTTTTTTAAATTGCTTTTGTGACATTATGCTATCATTGTGTCATCCTAATGTTTGTTATGACTTCTTATTGAATGTGTTTATTCATTTTATAATTCTTATATTTATTTGCTTGTTTGAGTATATAATGGCTATATATAACTTCACATTTCAATGTGTTGGTTGAATGGTTGTGCCAAGCCCAAACTTTACTTTGTATAAACCTCCTTAGTATTTGTTAAGTGTGATGATTCTCATCATGCATTGTACTTTGGGCATGATGTTTGAAATGTGAAATCAACATGTCATGGATATTACAACTGATTTTTGTTGTGCTTTTTTATGATTTTAAATTAATGAATTCTTAAGGTTGATTATGACTTTTGTAATTTTAAAACTCATGCTTGAATGTTTGTGACATTGTTTTAATAAGTGTTGTTCTTTAGAACATAGGCTTGTCTGTGATATTTATTGCTGATAATTTATAGGCGATTGATTTAAATATTGAGGAAAACTGTCTAAGGTAGGGATGATGGAATATGCTATATTAAACTCCTAATTCTCGAGCTGAACAATTTAATAACCAGCTACATGCCTGCAAACTATCTTATTAAGGCAACGTTGTGCCTAATGATTCTTAGACAAAATTTATTGTGAAATCGCTTCAGTAGAATAAAGTTGAATTTTTAAACATTCAGAGATCTTTTGACGTAATGGTTATAATTTCATTAAAAATTCTAAAGTTAAACGTGCTCATATTAGAATACTCCTAGGATAGGTGATCTCTTGAGTAGTCAGTCTTAGTGGACAAAATAGTTAGGTAATTAAGCCAAAGAGGACAATATCGATGGTTAGAAATTTAGAAAATTATAAATGGATATCAAAGCATTATACCAGTAAAAAAAATGGTGAATCAGTGCCATATAATACAAAGTGCAATGCCTTGGGATTACTTCTTAATCTTTTTTTGGGTCAAAGTGCTATGCGGTGGGAAATGTCTCTTGAACATGTAAGGGGCATCTTTAGAATCCTATATGCCTAATGAATGAATTTGAGCTAAGGATACAAATGAGAATAAATGTTACTTAGGTGGGGTAGATTGTAAAACCACTTTAAGTAGAATAACACTGCGCTCTTAAACATTGAAATACTTTTTGGTGTAAAGATAATAGTTTCATTAAAAACTCCAAAGTTAAGTGTGCTCATATTATAATACTCTTATGATGGGTGACCTAGAAAATTACACCAATAACACAATTGTGAGGCTATTATGATAAAGTAGATAATATCTCGATGGCTGAGACTTCGACATGTTACATTAATAATGAGACTTGTAATATGGAAACTAATGTTTATAGCCACCTGATTGAAACATGTTTAATTCATTTAAATGGGAACTTCATGCTTGGTAACTATTTGCTCAACATTTTACAAAGTTTTAGCATGCTCATTAAATATTGTATTATCAATATCTATGATGACTTTAATGATCTTAATAGTTTTACTTAGGAAGTTGGTTTCAATAGCTTATACTTAATATTCAATTTTAGATATTTCCTCTCCTATGAACTCTTTTTTCTTATACAATTTTCTTCACTAAGCCAACTTCTTAAAAAAGATTCATCTTCTGCATGGAAGGAGATCCTATCTCATCTTTAGTGTCAATCATTTGGAGCTCAATCTCTTAAGGGTTAATCTCTTGAAAATTATCAACTGGCTACTCATCCCTCACAGTTTTTTCTCTTGCTAAAAACTATTATATATATTAGTTTTTCCTTTGAAGTAAACTTCTAATGCTTGCCCTTGTTTTTTTTTTTTTTTGTAAACTAACATTGGGGAAGTCAGCCTTAGCCTTAGCCGCATTCAAATAAAATTCAGAGAGGATTGCAATTTTTTTTAGCATAACTCCTAAAAAATATTTGGTATAAGTGCCATAATAACTTGATAGTTGCCTCATTGTTTTTAATATAGAAATGACATCAATTCAAAGATGAAAGCTCTAATTTAATGTGTGTTGAAGTTTTGATTATTGAAGAACTTTTAGTTAAGTCCTAATTTAAGTCACTAGTGTAAGAAATGTGCTATCCACTTTTTTGGTTGAAGTGGAAATATTTAACCTTAGTAAGAGAAGTAATATTAGAAACATTTACTTATGTAGACATGTTAATATTATTATTATTTACTTCCTCTAAAATTATTTTATTTGGTTGAAAATTTAGATAATCTTGTCTCTCACCAAGCTTTTATACTACCACCAACAACAACTGCTTGCAGTCAGCACATCCCCAGTCAATGGCTGCCACGACTAACCGCCAAACATTGCTTGCCATCGTCTCTCACTTCCAATTGTCGCCGTCACCATGTTGCCACCACCCGTCGGCTACTAGACTCCATCATTATTAGACTTTAGGCTACAATTATTTTACTTTAAGCTTAAAAAAATCTTTATTTTACACTTATCTAAATAACTTTCATCATTTCAAATACATTATAATTTTCTTGCACTTTATTTCATTTTCTTCATCCCCCCCTCAAAACTAAATAAAAAAGTACTCCAAATTAATTATGTTTTTGCTAGATTTAAATTTAATAAGCGAGGCCTAACTAAAGTAAGAGATTGTATCGAACTAGCACTCCTTATCTGGAGCTGGCTGGTAGGATGGGCTAACATCGGATCGTATAGAACCCCGTCCTTCATCCTTCAAAGCTGTCGCCGCTGCCTGCGAGCCAGAAGCAAAATCAATCGCAAAAACATCTTTAACAGGAGAATAGAAGAGCGGAACGAGATCGGCTAAAGAAGAGTAATTTGGGAATGGGAGTGGATTACTACAAGGTTCTGCAGGTTGATAAAAACGCCAAGGATGACGACCTCAAGAAGGCCTACCGGAAGCTAGCCATGAAGTGGCACCCTGACAAGAACCCTAACAACAAGAAGGAAGCTGAGGCCAAGTTTAAGCAGATCTCCGAGGCCTACGAGGTATTTCTGATCTTTTACCAAGCAATCAACAGATGCTATCATTCCCCTAATTGTCGGTTCTTGATCCGAGCCTTGTCCTGCTTCTCGTTAGGTGCTCAGTGATTCCCAGAAGCGAGCGATCTACGACCAGTATGGGGAGGAAGGATTGAAGGGACAGGTACCGCCACCGGGGACCGGTGGCGCAGGTGCTTCCTTCTTCAGCGGCGGAGAAGGGCCGGCCACTTTCCGGTTCAATCCGAGGAGTGCTGATGACATTTTTGCTGAATTCTTTGGCTTCTCGAGTCCGTTTGGGGGAATGAGCGGTGGTATGGGGACCACTGGTATGAGGAGCGGGTCGAGATTTCCCGTCGGGAATGATTTCTTTGGGTCGGATTTTGGCAGGGAAGGGTCCATGAACCCACAGCGACCGCAGAAGGCGGCGCCTATTGAGAATCGGCTGCCGTGCAGCCTTGAGGATTTGTACAAAGGAACCACGAAGAAGATGAAGATTTCGCGGGAGATTTCAGATATGAGTGGGTACGATGAATTTCATTTATTTAGTGTTGCCGTTATGTGCTAAAGCTTCTTATTCGGAACTGCTTGCTTCCTTTTCTGTATGTGGTAAAATGTCAGTGCTATTGAATTTTGTTGGACGGTTTGGTTTCCCTTGTAAGTATTAGATATGCCCTTGTGTTTACTTTGCTTATTTGCTATGCGTTTTCCTGTTTGCTCTGATTAACTTCATATTTAAAGCATGCTGTTCTGATCAGCCGTGCAACGTTTACAATGTTATGGGCGGTGGTAGGAACTCAAGTAACTGAAAGCATTCCACTTTTGGATCTTGATGATATTGACTGCTTGTTTATTATGCACTAGAGGTATAAATCTGGGATGGAAACATGAAAATCTAGAGAATGTCTTTCACGATGATGAGTTCTTTGTTTAGGGTTGATATTAGTGGTTGTTTACGAATGCTAAATTCATATCCGGTTCCCTATGAGCTTCATAATATTTCACTTGAAATGCCAACAATATTAATCAAATTACTATTTTTGAATAGAAAAAAAATATTATTTGGTTATGATAAACTAAATAGAAAAGGGAAATATTCAAGGGCTTTGAAGAAGGTTTTAAGTTATAGTATGTTGTAAATATAACAATAAGTGCAATTTGATTGTAGTGGATAGAAAGTTGAAATAAAAAATTTTGAGGTAAATAGGCTGTGTTATGTTGATTACTTTCATGATAATTATTGATGAGGATATTATAAATATAGTTAGTCCTAATGCTCCTTATGTTGTATTAGAAGATATTTTTGAAAAAAATAATTTTGGTAAGAGATTAATGAACTATCACAATGTATGCCGGAGAAATAATTTGATATTTAATGTGGGCAACATAAATGAGCATATATGTTTTGGTAGGATGGGCTATGAAAGGGTTGATGCTAGGTATGTAATAAATGATAAAAATTAAATGGACAAGTTATGCTTGATTTTGCATTAGCCTTTAATTTTGCAAAGATGAACACATGCCACATACTTTAAGTCTAAGATAAGAACACTTGATTAGTTGTAAACTGGAGCCACCAATTTACAACATTATTTTGTATTTAAGTAAATGAGAAAAGTTTTAAGAGATTTTAGGGTGATTCCATGAAAGAGTTTGGTACACAAAATAGAGTTGTAGTTATAGATGTATATCTTCGTAGTATTAATCAAATGATCAATGAAAATAATTCCCGTAGGATAATATGGTGAAATTTGAACGGTAAGAAATTATTAGCATTTCAAGATAAGTTGTTGAAAGAGGCAAATTATAATTCTTTAGTTGAGGCAAATATGATGTGAGATAAGATGACTAGTCTCATTAAGAAGATTATAGTTTTAGGGGAATTTTGAAATAGATCATGCACTGGTAATGGAGTGAGGAGGTAGAATGGTTATTAAGAAAAAAAGTGTGCCTTGGTCGAGTGAAAAAAATTAAAGACTATGACTTATAATGATTATTTGAAAGTTAGAAGGTTGCAGAGAGTGTTGCGAGTAAAGCAAAGTTATAACTTTTGATAATTTAAATAATAGGTTAATGTAAAAAAAAATAATAATGGATTTACAATCAATAAATAGTAAAGTGCTATATATAATAATTAAGTATAGATGAGAAATTTGGAGGCTTTGATTAAGATATATGTTTTAAGAGTGGACATAATGGATCTTAGTTAAAGATAAAGACATTAAGGACATATGAAAATATAATTATGAGATTTATTAGTAAACAATTATTTTGAAAGATATAAACAAAATAACAAAGATTGATTCAAAAAAGCATAATTGAGTTAGCTTTAAAAAAGATCCATAAAGGTAAAGCTTTAGTTTAAATAAGATATCGATTACGATATGATGAGTTATTTGGGGTACTGTAGTAGATGGGTTAAGAAATTATTTTAATTGAATTTGATAACTAATTGATGGTAGAATTGCTCCCCTAGGCAGTGATATTTTGATTTACATGATTTTTTAAAGTTTTTCTTTTTGTGCTTGGTTGGGCATATTTGTTGGCTTTATCCTTTTGAAATAATGTTTGGGCTATGGGTTTCTTTCCCCATTGGGACTAATTATTATGTGCGGACATCGAACAGAGAAAACTATCCCGATTTGCTGCGCTTTTATTGTCCTTTTGCTGAACTATTGCAAAAGGATAGTAAAAAGGAAGCAAATATTTAATATTTATTAAATAATTGAATATTTTCTGTGTTTTTACTGAGTATTTGCAAAAGCACAGCAAAATGATAGTAAAAACACATTCATAATTGAATATTTGCTGCCCTTTTACTGTCCTTTTTCAAAAGTGCAGCAAAAGGACAGTAAAAGCGCAGCAAATCCGGATGGTTCTCTCCGTCCGGTCCCTGCATAGAATAATTTCTCCTTTGACTGGCATAGTTTTGAACTGTAGTTTATGGACCATGCAATTGGAATTTTAAGAGGTATATACAAGATTGTTGTTGAAATATTTGGGCTGTATGTTGTACAAAGATTTTAAAATTGAGGTTTTTTGTTGATAGAAGAAGGAGTTTGGTTTTAAAATTAAAAGAATAACTATTTTATCTCTTTGAATTAATTTAGAGTTAGACTTGAATCGAGCTAATCCTAAGCCAACCCTATCTAGTAGTCTAGGTGATGAGAAGTTTATACATAAATATTTTGAGGTATGTAAAAAATAGCTTGAATAAAATTTCTCTTTTAAGTTATAAACATGTGAATGTAAGTTGGATGTAGGATTCCTTTGAGTGTGGTATTAATGTGGATGCTTAATAATGGGGAAGACATCTTCTCGTATCGTTGTGAAGCTAGATTTTTTTTGATTTAGTGTTTTTTTTCCTATTTTATATATATAATTTGATATTGACTTGTTTAGTTTTTTTATTTTATTTTGATTAATATTAAAAAGTGACATGCTGAAAATTTAACTTGTGAAAATCAAGTTCAATTTACTTTGTTGATTTTATATGTTTCTTATACCTCACTGAATTTCTTGCATTAGTAAATCCTAACCTTAAGTCATTCTACGCTTTTAAATGGATGCCAAATTGTTTGAGAAACTATATTTTGGCAGCAAGATTTCAAATTGATGGAGATGCTGGAGATTGTGGTAATTATAGAGGAATTGAATTTATGATTCATATCATGAAGTCATAAAAGGGATTATGACAACACAAATTGAGAAGATTTTGTAAATTCTAAAGAATCAATTTAGTTTTATGAGAGGAATATATTCTATAAAAGCAATTTTAATTTTAAAATAATTAATGAAAAAGTACAAAGAGGAGAGAAATGATCTTCATATTATTCTAGTTGATCTTAACCAGACATGATTGAATGCCTAAAGAATTAATTTGGCATGCATTAAGAAAAAGTATGTCAATGGTATGTTGAAGTTATTAAAGATATATGTGGTGGATCACTAGTTAGTATTAGAAGCTAGCTTTTGAAAATCAGATCGGATCGGCCGGCTTGATCGGTTCAACCTATAATCGGTCATAAGATTGGTCAGGTCTATTATAAAAACTAGTTTCGCATTGAACTGGAGTGAACCGGCCAAAATTGTTGGTTCGACCGGCAAACCAGTGACCCAGTTCTAGTTCCTTTGAACCGATCAGCCAATAATTTATTTAAATAATTTCATAAATTAATTTAATATATTTAGAATAAAATAGTAACTTTAACATTTTAATTTATATTTAATTTATTTTAATTTTAAAAAATAACTATTTATCAATGAAATTCCAACTAAGCATTTCACATAACTCCATCACTCCATATGAGTTCTTACCACATGTAAACTAAAAAAATAATATAAAAAATACCATAACGTTCCCAAGTAATGTGGGACTAAATAAGTTGAATTTCTTAAGTTTATAACATACTCTATATATTTTTAAATAGATTTTTAATTAATTTTTTATATTATAAAAAGCATTTGTTTTTTAATTAATAATATTTAATTTATTTATACATAATAAAAATTAATTAATTCGTTATTTCTAAATTATAAATGACCTAACTTTAATAACTTATAAATGTAATAATGTAAATTTATAATATGAATTTAATATATAATCTGTAGGTGTAAATTATATCTAAACAATAACATAAATTAATAATTATTTATATTAAAATTTTAAATTTAAAATAAACTTAATTTATATTAAATGTGAATTAAATTTAAAGATTGAAGATGTTTAAATTTAAAATTATATAAGATGTTATTAATGTATGGATTCAATTTATTTTTTAATAAAAAATTATATTATTACATGATTATTCTGTCATATAAATTTTATTTAAATTATTTTCATATTGATTATATCATCCGGTTCGATCCTAGTCTAACCATTGTATCTTGAGCCTCTTATTTTTTCAGTTCTATATCCATTCTGGTTTTCACAACTTTGATTAGAAGTAAGTTTGGAGCAACTAAATATTTTCTATTACAATAATGCATTATCAAGAATTAGCATTGAATTCATATGTTTTTTATATTGGTTTAAAGATGTTTATAAATGATATTCAAAGTGAGATGTTCTGGTATGAGCTTGTTGCAAGTAACATAGTTTTTATCGTTGATATATTTGTTAAAATAAGTGGGATATTTGAATTATGTAGAAAATATTTAAAGGATAGATCATTTATAAACATAAAAATTAGGTATATGATATGCAATTTTAGAAGGATATTATAGTAATAGTTTACATTCAATATCCTCAGAAGATGAAGTGATGCCTAGTTGTGATAATGGAAGTATCTTGGATCTATTACATAGAGGAATGGAGATAAAAATTAATATATATCTTTGAAAGTCAAGATTGAGTGTTTAAAGTAGAGAAATACCTTTAGCGTATTGTGTGAGAAGAGGATATCTTAAAGACTTAAAGTAAATTTATAAAATTGCAATTTAGTTGATTATGTTGACTGTAGTCGAGTGTTGTTAAATTTGTTGAGAACTAAGTTTAGCAAGATAGGAATGAGAATGTTATGTTG